GAATTTTTGTATAATATGAACCGGTTGTTATCGTAATACTGGCTGTATAAAAAATATCATCCTTTATGCATGATTTTTATAAAATTTGCTTTATCGATAATATTTGTTTATAAACCCGGTATTTTAATGTAAAAATACTAATAGTTATATAAATAATATACAGTATGTAACATTGTAAAATTTGTTGACTATTGGTCAATTACGCGTCTCGTGATTGTTCAGACCCAATTCTTAAAAGTATAATGTTCTTTGGTACTACAGTAGTATAAAAAAGTAAGTATTATATAGAAACTGGCCAGTTTAATACGATTAACCAATCATGAAAAGATCTAAAGGTCACGGGAATGGCTTAAATTAGATCTTCGGCTAGAAGATTATTATTTAGCTGGTAATGCCCATATATTATTTACACTATATTTTATATCAATACCAGGAGGTTTGATTATAGTTGAGTAGACCGGAATTCTTTCAATTTATGCAATGATTGTTTATTATAGGTTATTAATAAAGAAATAAACAATTACATCTTACAGAACATTTTAATTTAAGTATATTTTTATATTGAAATATATATTTAATTGCTATTATTTATTAATGGTATAAGTATAAATAATTTATAATCGACTTCTTGAAATCGTGAAATTAACGCAACCGAGAAGTATGACTCGTGTGAAACATCAACGTTATATTCGTTCCAGCGATTTGACTCCGAAAGAGGAGCTTGATAATTTTCTTACCGAACACATCAAATATTTACCGAGGGAAAAAAAACGAGTTGAACGGTTCTTCAAAGAAAATGGAATAAACGGCGAAACTTTAGAAACAAATTTAAAAGAATTAGAAAAAATCATTAAAGAAAGAGATGAATTAAAGGAGTGTATAGACAAACTTATTAAAGAAAGCAATGAATTTAAAAAGAGCATAGACAAAAATAAAATTACATGAACATTCGCAGCTCAATTAATAAAAAATCTTCATAGTGAAAAGAATCATTATAAAAATCTGGTTGAACAGCACCAACAAGAAATCACTAGACTTTGCGATCAAAACTGACACCTTAGTCATCACCTCGAAATTGCGAGAAACTTTAACAGGATTATGATTGCTAATCAAAATATACGAATAAGAAATTTACAAGATTTATTAGAAAATTCAAGACCGATGTTACATCAAGAAAGAATACCGATAGGACGCCACCAAGATCAATTAGAAAGAAATAGAGGGGGTAATATATTCTTTATTAACTTGATAATATTCTTAATTACTAATGCTAGTTATTAAGAAATTCAAGACCGAAGTTAAGAAACCATCAAGAAAGAATGCCGATAGGGCGCCAACAAGAAATCAATAGACTGCGCTATGAAAACCAATTTCTAAGTCACGTTGTGGTAGAAGTAATAGGAGGAGCCCAACGAGAAATCAGTGAACTTCACGATGACAACCAACGTCTTCATCAGGATCTTGAAATCGGGAGAAGGCTTAGCGAGAATAGGACTGCTAATCAAAATATACAAATAAGAAATTTACAGGAAAGAGTAGAACAAAGTGAAAGAGGTAAAAGAGATAAAATATTCTCTACCAATTTGTTAATTTTCTTATTTACTTACGCTTCAGATTTTAGGAATGCTGATGTTGACAAGACAAAATGCTTTCCGTCTCGACCATAATATAGATACAAATGCTTTCCATCTCGACCATAATATGGATACAGATGAATATAATTAAACAGAAAGTTTGTGTTAATCTCAATTTTGTATAAATAAATTATGAAGTAATTGTTGTATATCTCAGATTTTCAGATTTTTAATATATCATCATACAAGACAATTATAAACACTTGTAGTAATAACGAATGGCCTCACCAAGATACAGTCTTCATTAATACTACACCGGCCTATTAGAATGACAATCATAATGAACGGCCTCACCGAGACACAGTCTCCATTAATTTTTAAAAATAGGCCGGCTCATAAATTATTTGTAAAAAAGTGTATAAGTGAATATATGAACAAATAACAAAAAAATAACATATTTTAACTTCTCTTGAATTATCGAAAAAAACATATTCAATTCCTTGTGTACTATAGCATTTTTAGTGAAGATTTATTTCTGGATAATTTATTTAAGTTCACTAAAGATATTATATGAAACAAAAAAAAACAAAACATAAATGAATAATATTGTAGATAAATCATGACAAGTTAGAAAATTTGCTTAGTTCTCGCTCTGATTTAATGTTAATTAATAAGGCACAAAAAGACCTGTCCTAGACCAGTCGGAACCTGTTCCGAAATGACTGTTGGAACAGTTAGTTTAGTGACTGGGCAGGACCAGATTTTCAAAAAATTTTCTAAAAATTATTAAAGAAAATATGTACCATAAATAAAACTTTATTAAAAAATTTTAATTAGTCAATTGTGAACCAAGAGAATAAATTTAATAATATTTGTACGTAATCTAAATGCACAGAGTTTTTTTAACCAAACTTGTGACCTAATGACCAATAGAAATTTGCCCAAGATTTGTGACCTAATGCACAGAGTTTGCAGATGGCGTAACTGAGATATTCATGTGACCTAATGTAAAATGCAGGAGATGTTTGTGTGTTCTCATTTCCTGCAGTCACAAGTCTTGTTGAATTTCTTGTTTGTTCTCATACACGAATATCTTGGTTAGCGCCAACTGCATAAGGTCACAAATCTTGGACAAAATTATCCGGTTATCGTCATCTAAAAAACTCCGTGCATTAGGTCACAAATCTTGGACAAATATTTATTAATTGATTTTTAAGTTCTATTGGTGCTTTTCTTGTATATGTTTTTCTTTGTGTATAGGTTCTCATACAAGGTCACAAGTCTTGATGAAATTTCTTGTTTTTTTCTAATACACGAATATCTCTGTTAGGGTCAACTAAATCTTGGACAAATATTATTAATTAAAATTTTTAATAAAATTCTCATACACGAATATCCGGTTAGTGTCATCTGCAAAACTCCATGCATTAGGTCACAAATCTTGGACAAATATTTATTAATTGATTTTTATTAAAGTTCTATTGGTGCTTTTCTTGTACATGTTTTTCTTTGTGTATAGGTTCTCATAAACAAATATCTCCTGCATTCTGCATTAGGTCACAAGTCTTGTTTGTTCTCATACACGAATATCTCTGTTAGTGTCAACTGCAAAACTCGGGGCATTAAGGTCACAAATCTTTGAACAAATATTATTAATTAAAATTTTTAATAAAATTCTCATACACGAATATCTGGTTAGCGCCATCTGCAAAACTCCGTGCATTAGGTTACAAATCTTGGACAAATATTTATTAATTGATTTTTATTAAAGTTCTATTGGTCTTTTCTTGTATATGTTTTTCTTTGTATATAGGTTCGATCACAAGTCTTGTTGAAATTTCTTGTTTTTTCTCATACACGAATACAGTATCTCTGTTAGAGTCAACTTCAAAACTCCATGCATAAGGTCACAAATCTTGGACAAATATTATTAATTAAAATTTTTAATAAAATTCTCATACACGAATATTCGGTTAGCGCCATCTGCAAAACTCCGTGCATTAGGTCACAAATCTTGGACAAATATTTATTAATCGATTTTTATTAAAGTTCTATTGGTGCTTTTCTCATACACAAACATCTCCTGCATTCCGCATTAGGTCACAAGTCTTGTTAAAATTTCTTGTTTTTTTCTCATACACGAATATCTCTGTTAGCGTCAACTGCAAAACTCGGTGCATAAGGTCACAAATCTTGGACAAATATTATTAATTAAAATTTTTAATAAAATTCTCATAACGAATATCCATCTGCAAAACTCTGTGCATTAGGTCATACAAAGAAAAACATGTACATGAAAAGCACCAATAGAACTTTAATAAAAATCAATTAATAAATATTTGTCCAAGATTTGTGTGTAATAGGTTCTTATACACAAACATCTCCTGCATTCCGCATTAGGTCACAAGTCTTGTTGAAATTTCTTGTTTGTTCTCATACACGAATATCTCTGTTAGCGTCAACTGCAAAACTCGTGCATTAGGCCACAAATCTTGGACAAATATTAATTAAAATTTGTAATAAAATTCTCATACACGAATATCCGGTTAACGCCATCTGCAAAACTCTGTGCATCAGGTTACAAGTCTTGGACAAATAATACTAAATTTAGAATCAGACCATTTGAAAAAAAGTCAGGAATTACTGTTGTGATCAAAAACTCAGTCTGATACTTACTCGACCTGGAGTCGGATAAGTTTGAACTAAGTTCAAACTTATTAAGTGATCAAAATCTAATAGTTAATATAAATTGTTAATCTAAAACTACTGTATGTTAGAGTACAATTTATATTAACTATTAATTTTTGGATCACTTAATCACTTAACTACTAGCACAGCTATTTTTTAGAGTTTGAAACTGGTTTTATTTTTACAAATGAAATAAAACCGGTTCCAAACTCTAGGTCAGATTAAGAAAAATTTTTTTAGAAAAACTGCATTAGGTTACAAGATATGATCCATTATGGATCACATTTCATAAAGTTTGTTGAAAATTAATTATAATAAAGTTCTAACTTAGACAAATACTAAAAAAGCTTTATTACTTAGATAAAATGTTGTAAAAGTTATTTTCATACACATTAAGTTATTATTCTTAATTTGTGCAAAACTTATTTTGTTAACCTTATAAATCATATACAAATTATCTTAATCTTTTTTTTTTTTTTTTTTTTTTGAATATTAATGGTGAGACCATGTCTCTGTCTTTATTGAAATTTAATTAAAATCTTTTAT